AATAACTTTTCGTATCGCAAATATATTGTCGTCTCCACACCTTCGTCGAAGTTTACTGTTGTCTCGAATCATAAGGGCTTCGAACCGTCGATTACCACCTGAACCTTCCCCTCATCCAGATTCACCGATTTCACATCACCTAGAGCTTTCCCGATACTCCTAAAACTCACATCAGCCCAATATTGTAGAGGAACACCAATGATCCTGATCCAGAATTTAATCACCGAAGGATAAGACGGATCGACCACCGGTGACCAGCGTACCAAAGATAACATCCAGTAATCAAAATGGAAAGGCTCCATCTTCATTACCTCCTTGATGTCTTCCTCTCTATCAAAGTCGAACTGGAATTTTCCGAGTCCTAAATCCGCACCTGCAACACGCTCCTCCATTTTCCAGATCCTTGGAAGCATGAACAATAAAGCTTTCATGTCCTGCAGCTGAGGATTCATACATCTACCGATCAGGGTTTTTGAATAACCCTTGATGAGATCCGCATTATCAAATTTAGGAACCGTAATCTTCAACCGTTTCGGTGGACCCCCATTTGTGACCTCCAAACTACTCGTTTTGAGCAGAGAACTCTGAGACATAGTCGATGAGTTTGTGTTTTGGTGTAGCGAATGAAGAACTAAAGAAAGAAGGGGATAAGTTGATGTTGTTGTTTTGCTGCTCCAATCTCCTCGCGTGCTCCTTTTAAAGGCCAACATTACTTGCAAAGGTATTCCCTCAAGAAGATTCTGATTATGAATCTGTGATTCGCCATCCTCATAATTTGATTTTGATTTACTGAAATCAAATCTCCGAGATCCTAATTTTTCCCCAATCTTCGTCGATTCTGCATCTGCACATCATCGATTCACCATCTTTGATTTGGAATTCATCCCTGAAAATTGACCAAATCCATTTCCTAAATAGACACTGCACCTCGTAATTTGATAAGTTGTTTTTGCCTTTCTCTGATTTGATTTTCTCAAAACCCCTCTGGTCCACCCAGATATCGTGAAAAAGATCCGACTTTCATATTTCTCCTTCCCCCAAATCAGTAGAGAAACAGATCGGATGTAAATTAGTCCGATTTGCACATCCTCAACAATTAATTCCTGTAGATCACTCCATTGAATTAGACCGAATAACCAAACCGATAGCATTTCTTCCCCATTAGAGACCTCCTCTGTCAAGATATCTGACCGAATCGACCGCAGATCCCATCGTCGATCCATCTTAATCTCAGATTTTTGGCGTTATCGCCATTCTCTCTGATTTTAGAAAGCTTAGTGTATCATTGATTCTAGAGACTGTTTAAATAGTTATTATTTAATGAAAAAAAAAAAAAACATATGATCACTATGATCACTATACTTAGTGTATATTTTATTTAAATTTTTATTGAAAAACATAAAAATATACAAAAAAAATATGTGATAATTAATTTGATTCAGTGACATAGATTTTTATAATAACTCTTCTTTTTTTACACAGAGCAGAAAAATATAGCTAAAATGATGAACATACTTAGTTGACTTGCGGTTGACTCAGAATGAATTAGGTTGATAGAGTGTCCCGACAATCCGAAGAACTTTCCGAGTCATTACCCAGACCGAGTTTAAAAACATTGGTTTAATGCTTCATTACATTATTTTTCAAACCAGTATTCAAATTTAATAAAACTGATATTTAGTAAAACCTAACAAATTCTATAACATCCACTATTTACAAAATAAAGAAATATAATGCTTAAGTTCTATCATATGAAACAAATTGAACACCAAATATAACACCATATTATCCCAAGGAATTCAGAGGTGAATATCATATGAACTTATACTGCTATACACACCGGTATCTAAGAACTTATACACCTTCCGGTCTCAAATTCACTAACCAAGATCAAGTACCCTAACATAATCTTTTGTTTTGTATGGCCAAGTATCTCAATTCTAAATTAAATCGGTGATGGTTCATCACTATATTTTCGTTTTGTTTTTTTATATAATATTAAATGGATTTGTTTCATGTTGTATATGAAAATATTTTATGTTATCATTTTGTTTTTGATCGTGCCTCTTGGATTATAAATTTTAGTTTTAATCATTGTAAATTGAATCATACGAGCTAAAGAGTTATGATGGAAGAAATTTTATTAAGACTAGCTGAAGACCCGCGTGTACACGCAGGTTTATATATTATTTAGATTTTTTAAGTTGTGTTTAATATAATAAAATAAATTTCGTATATATTTAATGTTTAGGAGTTAAGTTTTGATTGGTAAGAAATATACTTTAACAAATATAACCTAATTCAAGATAGATGATTGATTATTCCATGAGTGACAAAATGTTTTTACTATTTAGAGTAATGTGATTTGTTATAACTTTTTCTTCTCTTTTCTGAGTATTTCTGTTTATTCAATCTTTTTGTAAACTTCCCATAATAGTTTTTTTACTCTCTTTTACTTAAAATTTTTATATGTAAAACACTTTTCGTTTACTCTAATTATAATTATAAGAACTTAAATTCTTTAATTATTTGTTCCTTAAAAAAATCAAACATATACATGAAAACTTCTTGTACATCCTAGAGGAGAGAGCAATATCTTCGCTCTCTCATTCTTTTTGTTAGCCATCTCCTTGGTATATTATCTGTAAATTTTGACTCTCTCTTTGCCTTTTACTTCTTATATTTTTCTCTTTACACAAATTTTTAAAAATGCAGCAAAAAAAAAAAAATGAGAATGGAGATAACGAAGTACCTTATTAATAGCTAGTATATGCTGCACTTTTCTCTCTTAATTTTCCTAGAAGCAACTTTTCCATTGACCACATAATCTTCACCACATATGTATAAACCCAAACAACTCTTTGTATCCTTCTGTTTTTGTGCATTGAACTACACAGAAACTACCGTTGGTGTGGTGATATCATCGCCTTCTACTCTGTTATTCTCGGAAAAAAAGATGGAATAACCTTCAATTTAATACGCATTGCCGTCTAATTTGGGGCAGTCTTTACAAGCGATAAAAGAGTGAAATCTTACCAACTTGAGTGTCAAGTAACAGATAACATTAGCATTGTCTCCTCTAAACAACAAATGGAACTCTCCATCCTGAATTTTTTTGCCTAAAGAGCCACCAATACTCTTGTGGGAATCAGAAACATGTCAACTTTGAGCATCTCCGCCTAGTTTTAAATCACAATCTTCACACTTTCAATAAGCGCAGCATCAGTCTTATTGATGCAGTTGAGTTCAGATTCAAAAACCATCAGCCCAAGTTTTCTCAAAATGACGTCTTATGATTCTATAGTTCAATTACCATATGCTATCTGGTAAGAAGACTTGCACGATTTTAAAATATTTTCAAGGCTTTGGTCACACATTTCTATTTTCTTGATATCTTTTCACTTGTTAGGATGATTTCTGTAGAAGTAAATAACTTAGGTACTGAAAATTGGCATATAATAAGCTCAAATCAATGACTTTAGACGAAGAAACATTTGAATTAAAAAAACATATTAAAATTCCAAACCCTATAATTATAAAATTCCTCTGGAAAGACTATACAATAATGAAAATATAGTAAGATAACTGTAAATTTTAATTGTATTAAAATTTGTTCCCAAAATGGTTACTTACATAGTTACATCCGTGATTGTAGTTGTAACATTTTCAACTTTAAAAATATAAAAGGTTTATCAATCATTCCAACTGGTTATGTTTAAACATAATCATATAATTAGCCAAAAAGAATTTTAATAAAGCTTTAAATAGTTTATTTCTAATTCTCTATTTTAGTTCGTAAATAAATTTTTAGTTAGTAAATAACTCACAGCTCTATTTTGTTAAAAGATTACAATTATAAAGTTAGTAAATAATTCACAGCAAATTAATCATCTCAGTTTTACCAAGTTATTTCATTAGATGAAGTTTACTATCTTTGTAAAAACTACCACCGTAATAATCAAATTTAAAAACTATCACCATGATAACCATTTTATTCCATCTTTCCAACATCTAGGAATAAGATTAATGAGATAATAATGAGTGTTATTGACCAAAAATGGACATTTATTTCTTTTTTTATTTCTGGGATTATTAAAAACATAATATTAGTGTTAATATTTTTTTCATAATAAATTTAAAGCTGATGTGTCATAAGGAGAAAAGCTGATGTGTCAAGTTTGTAAAACACAACTCACTCTTTATATAATAAAAATGGACATTTCTTTCTTTTTTGATTTCTGGGATTATTAAAAACATAATATTAGTGTTAATATTTTTTTTCATAATAAATTTAAAGTTGATGTATCATAAGGAGAAAAGCTGATGTGTCAAGTTTGTAAGACACAACTCACTCTTTATATAATAGATTGCTTGAAAATTTAATATTAAATTTTTATTAATTAAAATTTAAGTGACATGTGTCAATTTCTCTAATGCTGATGTGTCAAGCATACAGAGAAAGTTGAGCAACTTTTATATATAAGATTATATCAATTTGTTTGTCTTTAAAAGTATCAATGAGATTGCATGTAATGGATACGGTGAAAAATTGCATTATTAAATGACTCACTCAAATTAGACTTTATCGATAGATTATATATATTATTTCTGAATAATTATCAATTTTAGGTTTTTCTTCCTAAAAAACATTCATTCAAATTTCTAATTTAGTATAAATAAGTAAAAAATGATAAAACATATAATAACTAAATTAGTTTTTGAATTCTAACATTTTATTACTAAGCATCAAGCATTTGTAACCCGCAATTCGGTGCGGGCACATTAGCTAGTTGGTTGGTAAATGATGTGAAATGTCGTGAGTTTAGCTCCTCCAAAACCTGGGAAATGCTGCGCCCAAGAGCTGAAACAAAGTCATGGGCTAAGATTGTTTGGTACGAAGGCAACATCCCAAAACAAGCTTTTAACATGTGGATCTCTAATCTGGATAGACTCCCAACGAGAGTAAGACTTGCTTCATGGGGTCTTAATATTACGACAGAATGCTGGTATGCTCTAACAGGGAAGAGACGAGGGATCATCTGCTGCTCACTTGTGACTTCAGTGTGGATATTTGGAAACTGGTTCTAGTAAGACTCGGGCCTTCTCAGCATATGTTCAGGTCCTGGGCTGAGCTTCTATCCTGGACCAGTTTGAGTTCGGAATTGGCACCCTCAACGCTTAGGAAACTAGCTGTCCAAACTACAGTCTACCATCTCTGGAAACAGAGAAATAACGTATTGCACTATCACCTAATGATTCCAGCTCAAACCATCTTCAAGTCAATTGACTGTGACATCCGTAACTCCATCACTGCTCGACGTCTTAGGAAGCAGTTTCGAAACTTAATGGCTCTTTGATCCGTTAAGATTGATGTAAATTTTGTGTTAAGTTTTCCTTGTTTTTTAATTCTTTTTTTGCCAAGGAAGCTTTTGTATTAGGGTGACAGCATCTGTAACTCTCTCTTTCATTTTTAATGATATTAACATTCCTAGCAAAAAAAAATAAAAAAAATTTGAGGATGTTTGAATGCAAGTTGATTTTTAAGTAACTTCTAATATTGAACGTCTAAGAGATAGTAAAGCAAACTGGGAATATTAAAATTTTGTGTGTGTACACAGGTTATGAACTTTCAGTTTGTGTATAAATAGGATTAGAAATTTAAACTTTTCTGTAGTTATGGTGCTTTATGAAAATTCAGATGGAGAAATAGATCGTCAATCCACATTTGTAATACCTTACTTTACTCTTATCTTCTGTAGCTGAGAAAACCAATGAAATTTCTCCATAAAAGAAATACATATATATTACCTCACACCAACGAGAATTCTAACATGAACTTACACATTGCTAAAGACACCTTGATCTCGTAAACTTTGCTTTCGTAAAAATCAAAACATAGGCAAAAGTACCAAGAGCTACATGTGTATGTACCTTTAGGTTTGCTTTGATGTTGCCGATGGGCGATGGACTCTGTTGGAGGTGAAAACCGCACCTCCGGTTTTCTCCGGTACAAACCGAGATCAACATGACGTAAGCCCGGTTTACGAAGGAAATGTACCGGAATATTGGGCCGAGTGAATTCTTGGGCCAAACGTAGCCCAACAAGCCGAAGTCGGTCAGAAATTTCTCAAGGAACCGAGAAGTTCTCCGAGTTCGGAGGAAAATAGAAAAGTTCCGAGTAGAAAAAGGAAACTGACAAGAAAAAAGGAAACTGACGAGAAGAAAGGAAACTACCATGAGAAAAGGAAAAAGACCAAGAGAAAAGGAAAGTCTTCTCGGTCCCATATCGCATACGAAGACCAACTTAGAAGACATATATAAAGGAAGAGGAATCGACACTAGAGGACACAGAAAATTCTTGAGAGACTTGGAGATTGAGAGCTCAAGGCATTCCTTAGTTTCTTAATTTCCTAAGTCTTAGTTCGTTTATCATTTACATAGACGAACTCAGTTGTATTCTCGACCGATCTAATAAAATCCGAATTTTCGATCTAAGTTACTGTTTTGTCCCTTGTCGATATACACATATCAACAATTGGCGCGCCAGGAAGGGGGACTTAACAAAATATTCAGTTTTAGATCAGATTTCGGAGAGATCGAGTCAGCTATGATAGACCAAGCCCACGTCCATGAAGAAGAAAACCCTCTCGGTCAAGAGAACGGCAACATCCGAGCCCCCGCGGAACAGACAGGAGGAACCCCTGGGGAAACCGCTGGAGCAGAAGCCGGCCAGACTCCCGCAGCCGTAGGAGGTTTTGGAACTGAACTACTGCTCCAAGTGTTCAACGCTCAATTTGAAGCTATCCACAAAAGGAGCAAAGAACGCTTCAGTCAGATGGCGGCACAGATCGCCGAGCTCAGTCAAGCACGGACTCCCCTTCGAGTTCAGAACATCATTGACGACCTCAATACTGACGGCGACCCAGCCGGAACTATGCGTTCCACTGCTGTCGGATCAGCAAACGCTCCAGCACCACCAGATCTAAGTCGCGATGCCGAGTTCGAAGCAATGAAGGCACAACTTCGCGAGATCACTTCGAAAATTCACAAAGCAACGAACGCCGCCCCGGAGATCGAGCGCGTCATTCAGGAAACACAAAAGACACCTTTTACGCCGTGCATAGCGGGAACGCCTGTCAAACACATGGAGAAACTCAAGATCAAGATCTATGAAGGCAATACCGATCCCCGGTATTTTTTGACATCGTTTGGAATCTGCATGAATCGATACCAGTTCAGATCCGGCGAAGAAAGGGATGCGGTCCAGTGCCAGCTGTTTGTCGAGAGTCTAGGAGGAATAGCTCTCGACTGGTTCTCACGACTCGAGGCGAACTCAATAAATAACTATAAGGAGCTGACGACGGCCTTTGTTAAACATTTTTCAATGTTCATCGAACAGAACACCAAGAACTCCGAGCTAAGGCAGATAGCCCAAGGAGCAAGCGAGAGCCTCCGTGACTACATTCAACGCTTTAAGACGATCGTCGCCAACTGCACGATCAGCGGCGAAGCCGTTCTCTTATGCCTCCAGAAAGGAGCTCGAATAAAAACAAGCTTCTGGAGCGCGATCACGCACAACCCCCCGCAGACCTTGGAGGACGCATTACACTGAGCTAATACTTACATCGCCAAAGAAGAGGAAGAGGCAGCCTATGAGCAGAACTATTCGGCAAAACAGCCCGAACGTCCAAAGGCCGCCACTAATGAACCTCAATCGAGCTATAGCTGAGGGTACGAGAATCGCAAGAAGTTCTATGCTAATGCCATCCAGCAACCAACCAAACAATGGAATAATAAATGGGTCCGCAGTGAAGAGGATCAAGACGAGTCATTGTTCTGCGAATTCCATAACCGTAAAGGACATAGCACCGAAGACTGCAGACATCTAAGAGAATACCTGCTCGCGCAGTATCGAAAAGGACAAATTTCGCTCGACGATCTCTGTCGTTCAACCGCTCCAAGAAGCAAGTCACCTCGACCGAATAACATACCACCCGAGAACGCCGTCGCCAAAGGTCCACCAGCTCCACCAGCTTTACCGGCTCTACCGCCACCTCCACCGAATCAACCTGGTTTACCCGAGCAACCGAAACGCAACCGTGACGACCGTGCGCCAGAAAACCACACTTCCAAAGCAAGGAAGCGCGTCAACATGATTATGGGAGCTATAGAAGCCTGCAGCTATTCAGTTCGGGCCATCAAGGAATACAGTAGACAGGCCGCCACCGCGCCTAAACTCTTGCACGATCCGCCGAAGGGAACCCCTTTGATATTCACCGAAGCCGACACAATCGGGTTGCACAAACCACATAACGACGCCCTCGTCATCGAACTACTTCTCGACGACGTCGAAGTTAGTCGCATTCTTATCGATACAGGCAGTTTGGTAAACATTATCTTCAAAGACGCCCTTGATCAGCTCGTTATACCATCAGACAAAATTGAGCCCTTTATCAAGCCACTCACAGGGTTCGATGGCGAACGCTGCATGACGGTCTGCACGGCAAAATCCCGATCTACCTCGCCGGAGTTGCGAAGATCATCCAGTTCCTCATCCTTGATAAACCAGCGATCTACAACGCTATTCTCGGCACACCGTTGCTGCACACGATGAAGGCAGTGGCCTCTACGTACCATCAATGCCTGAAATTCCCAACTCCCGACGGTGTTTACACTCTCCGAGGGAACCAAGCCGTCGCCCGATCGTGCTACATAAACGAATGCAAGCTTCGTTCGGCCAACCAAGCTTGCATCATCAGTTCGCAAGGTTCAACGACCGAGCCCATTGTCCAGAAAACGAAACCCAAGCAAGAGTCAATTACTCAAGTCTGCATCGACGAACTAAGGCCAGAACGCCAAGTCGGCATCGGCGCCGAACTCGACCCAAGTATCCGCGATACACTCGTTCACTTCCTGAAACAACACCCATCCACCTTTGCATGGTCAGTAGAGGATATGCCCGGGATCGATCCACAAATCGCTTGTCACGAGCTCAACATCGATCCGACATACAAGCCGATCAAGCAGAAACGCCGAAAATTCGGACCAGAAAAGGCACAAGCCGTCAACGATGAGGTCGAGCGGTTACTCAAGGCAGGATCCATCACTGAGGTCAAGTACCCTGATTGGCTAGCAAATCCCATGGTCGTAAAAAAGAAGAACGGCAAATGGAGGATTTGCGTCGACTTCACCGACCTCAATAAAGCATGTCCGAAAGACAATTTTCCTTTGCCTCATATCGACCGCCTCGTGGAAGCAACTGCCGGAAACGAGCTACTCTCGTTTATGGACGCATTCTCCGGGTACAACCAGATTCTTATGCATCCACAAGAGCGGGAAAAGACATCGTTTATGACGGACCGCGGCATATACTGCTATAAGGTTATGCCCTTTGGTTTGAAGAACGCTGAAGCAACGTACCAACGCCTGGTCAACCGAATGTTCGCAAGCCAGCTCGGACGAACTATGGAAGTCTACATTGACAACATGCTCGTCAAGTCACTCGTCGCTTCCGATCATGTCGGCCATCTTCGCACATGCTTCGATATTCTAGACCAATATGGCATGAAGCTCAATCCCACTAAGTGCACGTTCAGCGTAACGTCCGGCGAGTTCCTCGGATACATAGTCACACAGCGCGGTATTGAAGCTAATCCGAAGCAGATCGCAGCTATACTCGAGCTCCCGTCTCCGATAACCAAACGAGAAGTCCAACGACTAACCGGACGCATTGCATCACTTAATCGATTCATATCCAGATCGACAGACAAGTGCTTGCCGTTCTACCAACTTCTCCGCGGTAACAAGCATCTGGAATGGAACGAGAAGTGCGAAGAAGCTTTTTCCGAGCTTAAAAAATACTTGTCTACACCGCCTGTTCTATCCAAGCCCGAAACTGGCAAGACGCTTTACCTTTATATCGCGATCTCGGAGTACGCGGTCAGCAGTGTCCTTGTTCGAGAAGACCGTGGCAAACAGAGGCCAATTTTTTACACGAGTAAATCCCTCGATGGATCGGAATATCGCTACCCAACCTTGGAGAAATTCGCCTTCGTCGTGGTTATCTCTGCACGAAAGTTACGCCCGTACTTTCAGTCGCACTCGATCGTTGTCTTAACCGACCACCCTCTCCGCACCTTCCTTCATAGCCCAAATCAATCCGGCCGACCCGCCAAATGGGCCATCGAGCTTAGCGAATATGATATCGAGTACCGAGGAAGGAACGCGACGAAATCCCAAGTCTTGGCAGACTTCTTGGTCGAACTCTCACCCGTCGATGCTAACCCGGCCATACAACCATGGATCCTTCATGCCGATGGTTCCTCTTCCCATAAAGGATCCAGCGTCGGAATTCGTC